GCATTCCTTGCAGAATTAATTTTATGTAGCATCTACCAGTTGCCTTTGTCAAGAAGGCAGCTGTTGACAATCTTATGGCATGATATATATATATACTGTAAATTGTCTTAGTGTTATAGCTGATAAGAGTGTCATCGACAAAAGACTTCTACTTTCAACTTTCTAATAAAATTGTTAGGCCCGCAAAGTATAGTTTTAGGGAAAACCTGGTGACAATAATGAAGTTATATAAAACCAAAATTGGTCAGTGCTAATTTAATCTTAAAAATTTCAGTGGCTTGTCTGAAAGCAGGTATGCCTGTTTGGCCTAATATGCAAATTTTGGTTTTGTTTTTTTGGCAGGAAGATATGGAAACAGCAAAATACGTGTGGAGGATGTGTGTGGCTAGACACAAATTTTACAGACTAAATAAATGCAGCCTGTAAGTAGAATACATTAGCAAAACTCTTGGTGCCCTTGAAGCTTCCACTGGGAAGTGAAATCTTCTATGACCTCAGTAATATATTTACTGTACCTTTTAGATGGTAGTAATTAATGACTTGGTGTTTTTTTCTTAATCTTTTTTGAGAAAATACTTATTGCCAGTTTCTCAAACATGTTCTGCTTTATAACAGAGGACAGTATTAAACACTGAAATCTTACCAAAAGTAATAGTGTTTGGCCCCTGCTGCTGGACAGATTTTAGTGCTTTGGGGGCTACTATTGCTAGAATGTTTGTGAGCTGCTGGAATCGTTGGGATTTTGGCCTGGGTTTGGGTGAACTGCTCTGAAAGGACACTCTAGAGGCTTTTAAAAGGGCGGGAAGTGTATGTGAAGCACTCCTGAAATGTGCTGGATTGACAGCTGGGAGGTATGTGGTCCTTTGGATATCCATGGAATCCGTATAGCTCAAGTAGCACCAGTGCAAAGTAAATTTAATACAATTCATCAAATTAAATTTAAATGGGCTAGTCTCCAACTTGTAAATCAAGGGCTGGAATTTGAGTTACTCCACTGGTACAGAACTTTCCTTCAGTTAAGTTACTTCAGCCAAAGAATAGAGAACTAGACCCAGTGAATTGTGTGTCATAAAAAAAGCGTGATCCCCAAATGTTCCATTCCTCTTATTTGTACACAAGATAGCAGCTATGGAGGGTTTGGTCCAAAATTTACTGAGGCCAGTGGAAAGATAATGGAATATTTTGTACCACAGATGACTCGCTACTGTGTTTAATGCTAAATTATTTTAGAAGAGTAAAATTAATTTGGAATAGGGTAGAACTCATACCTCATACTCAAACCTGGCTGCCTTTTGAGAGAGTAAGAAATATTGGTAGAAGTAACGCATTTGTGGGACTTGTGCATTACTATCTGAATAATGTCAGTTCTATAGTTCTGTATTGAATGTCAGTCTCTAGGATTACTTATTTTAATCCTTTCACCACAACATGGTTTTATTAATAGGTAAAGTCCTCAAAGAAACCTTTCTGATTATCTCTGTTCTAAGATTCCCTGTCATCTGGTTCTGCTGCTGAAAGCTGTCTTATGCATGCCTGTATTAAGTTCATGGGTTTTTTTCTTTATCTGTACCTACCTTGTCTTTAGAGACTCCCTGGACTCTCCACCTGAGGAGGGCACTCAGAAATCTTCCCTCATTCTTTCCCTTCCACGCTTTCCAATCCTTTCTCGTCCTTCACTTCCCAAAGGGTGAGCTGAAAAATCATCTTTCTTTCTAAAATCTGACAGTTCCTGCATTTGTATTATTCTGCTGTCTTTTGACTTCTGTCTTGCTGCAAGATGCAGAGTACAGATGCAGTGTAAAGTAGGGAAAAGGGAACTTAAGGTTTCTAAACCTTACATCCTGGAGGCAATCCAACAAATCATGAAAATTTATTACCGTTGGCTTGAATGTTAGAATATACACATGTTCATGCAGTATAGTCATGCTTTCCAGTTCCTGTAACATCTGTAATGTTATATTCTGTAAACAATTTTATTTCTGGTCTTGTAGAACAGGTAACTTACAGTATGAGATTTTAGATGGGGTTCAAAGTTGGAACTAGTCCCCAGTTAATCTGATGCTTTTTCTGCCCTGCTGCAGTGCTTCAGGGACATCTTTTAATGCTTCATAGAAAAGAGGCAAAGAAATAACTGAGGTATTTTGATCCTGGGTTTGTGATTCTGCCATACTGTCTGCAATGGTGGTTTATGCACAGAGCTCTTTCCTTTTGAGACTGTTGGGGAGGACTATTTTACACAGGGCCTGGCTCCAAGAAAGTAGAGTGACTTTTAACTGAACTTGGGAGCACTTTCCAAGGTTTGAAGTAGGTCTTGGTGGTATTAAGAATCATTTCTCACCATAAAATTTCTTCTGTAGACAAACCCAGCCCGTTACAGTAAACCCTGTTAGAAGGCGGTCTTCGTCCAGGATGTCTATGGTAAGGAGAACAAATAGTTTTATATTTGCATTTTTTGTAGAATCGTAGAATGGTTTAGGTTGGAAGGGACCTTAAAGATCATCTAGTTCCAGCCCCCCTGCCATGGGCAGGGACACCCTCCACTAGACCAGATTGCCCAAAGCCCCATCCAACCTGGCCTTGAACACTTCCAGGGAGGGGAAGTTTTTATAGATTTCAATTAACTTTGAATCAGATATTAGCTCCCTGCAGTGAAATAAAATGAGCAGTGAGAAAGATGAGTCTGGTATGTGAGGAACTGTTTCTCGCTTGTAGAAAAAGCTGATACGTAATATCTGAATAATGGAATTAAAATAATTGCAATGAAAAATATTTTAAACACTTCTGTTTTTAGTTTGATTGCTCTATCTCTTGGAGACTCATCTAAGAGTCTTTCCTAGATGTCAGATGGCAAGATACAGTCTTGGGTTGGTGGTGTGTGGTTTTGTTTCTTTTTTTTAAACTATTTTTTGTATGACCTCACAGGAGAAACTTATATTGCAGATTTAGAGAAATGGTTTAAGACTAAGGCTTTGTGTGTGTGTATTATATGTTATATATTATACATATACTATTCTACATTATGAATTAAAAAATCTTCAAGACTTATTTTTAAAATAAATCATGAGGTTTTAACTAACAATAAGATACTTGCTATCTTAGCCCAAGCCTCAGCCCTATATGATGCCTCCACCACCTCAGCTGCATTACAATGGTCATTACACAGAACCATATGCATCCTCCCAAGGTAAGTTCATTAAATCCGAGGCCACACTACACAACTTTAGAAGTTAAAAGCTGTAATTTGCATTTATAGCTACTTTAGCTAGAGCTGAATAAATTCATAAACATGGGATAGGTTTGTACTACAACACATTGAAGTGCTTGCTGCTACTCTAGGCATATAGACTAATTGAAAAAGAATCATAGAATCGTTTAGATTGGAAAAGACCTTTAAGATCGAGTCCAACCACTAACCTAGCACTGCCAAGTCCACCACTAAACCATGTCCCTAAGCACTGCATCTACACATCTTTTAAATACCTCCAGGGATGGTGACTCAACCACTTCCCTGGGCAGCCTGTTCCAATGCCTGACAACCCTTTTGGTGAAGAAATTCCTAATATCCAATCTAAACCTCCCCCAGCACAACTTCAGGCCATTTCCTCTTGTCCTATCGCTTGTCACTTCGGAGAAGAGACCGACACCCACCTGGCTACAACCTCCTTTCAGGTAGAGAGTGATAAAGTCTCCTCTCAGCCTTCTTTTTTTCCAGGCTACACAACCCCAGTTCCCTCAGCCTCTCCTTCTCCGTATCCTCCCCTATGGGATATGAGCACAGTTAGTTATGATAGCATATACAGCAACTATCGACTGTGGTCCCTTGTGAGTTTAAGCTGACCATCATTTTTTTGGTTCATGTACCAAACTGGTACATTAGGGCACTGTGAGATCCTTGGCAATATTGATCATAATAGCTTCAAAAAGTAACTGAGTCCCCAGACAATTCGGACAATTAAAAAAATTTTAAAAATTATTAAACGCAGGATGCAGGAGGAGAGAAGTTTCCCTCAGAGTTCACTAGACTACAAGGTGGTGCGGAATTCAAAGGCTAAGGAACTCTGCAAGTTATGGAATTGGTATACATTGGATTGAAAAAAGAAAAGAAAAAACCCCCAGCAAACCCTAATTAGAATTCTCAAGAAATGCACACTCCTAATCTAAGCAGTTTAGTGTGGAGTCATGGCTACTTTCTTTCCTTTTTTTTTTTTTTTGATTGTTACACATTGTGTCTTTAACAAAAATGCTGCCCTGAAGGGCTTAATCTAATCTTTTGCAACGTTGCCTCAGTTTTGATAGGGACCTTCCAGTCGTACGAGTCAGCTGGATTAAAAAAATAACAGCTCCCTGGCAAGGGAATAAGCACATTTTCTATTTAAATAGTTACAGAAGTATTCATGAAAGTACAGGTATATAAATTAAGAATGTAGCTGAATTCTTCCCAATGTAGTGTTGGAATTGTTGCTGGATACTTGCTTCTGCACATGTCCTATTTTTGATCAATTTTTTCACAAACAAAAGAATTTTAGATTGTCAGCAAATTCATTAACATAAGTGCGGCAGTTACTTTGGTGAACCTGAAAAGTTAAATGGTGAAAGGCATCTAAAGCAATGACTGAATTGCTCTCTTCTGGAGCTTGGCAAATTGTACATTCAATGAAGTAATGGTTAAATTATTAAATGTATATTGGATGTATAAACTAATAGATAATTTTCTTTACCCATCAGAGTGGGTATATGTTAATGAGCAAACAATATATGGTGGTGGTTTAAACTGTCTCCAAAATTTCTGGAGAAAAGTTAATTTATTTTTTTTAATTTTTTTTTTTTAATTGAAAAGTCTTGTGGTACTATATCTACTTATGTCTGGGGGGAGGAGAAGAGTGAGGGGTTTTTTGTTTGGTTGTTGTGCGGGTGTTTTTAGTTTTTTCGTGCATTTTTTGTTTGTTTTTCTTTCATGTGGTTTAAACTGATATCATTAGGTTAGTGCAAACCCTGGTGTAGATGTTCTCTCTTTCAATAGGTGTGGTTTAAGATTGGTATGGATGTTGTTTAACTTGGACTGAAACTTAGCAAACCTATCCTAAACAGAAGAAAGTCATTCTTAAACTGAGACAATGTTTTCCAGTAGGAATTTGCATCATCTAAGTGAATGTAATAGGTTATTCTGGTATACATACCTTAGGTAGCAACAGCAAGAATCCCATTTCAATACATAGCTAAGAATAACTGAGATTTTGCAAATCTCAAACATTGGTTAGCTGCGTCTTAATAGAGGATATATTTGTTTGATATCTTGAACATAAAGATTGTTCTTAAACTTTACTTTCAGATAACCTCTTTGTGAGCAGTCAGAATGGATACTACTGTCACTCTCAGACTAGCTTGGATAGAGCCCCTCATGACTACAGTGGTCGGATCCGCAATGGTAGTGTCTATAGTGCACATAGCACAAACTCCTTGAACAATCCACAACATTACTTGCAGCCGTCCCCCATGTCCTCTAACCCAAGCATTACTGGAAGCGATGTCCTCAGAACTGATTATGTCCCATCACATAGACACAGTGCACTAATACCACCTTCTTACCGTCCCACGCCAGACTATGAAACTGTGATGAGACAGCTCAACAGGGGAATGGTGCACACAGATAGGCAGAGTCATTCAATGAGAAATCTTAACATCGGCAATTCATATGCTTACAGCAGGCCTGATGCCTTAGTTTACAGTCAACCTGAAATACGAGAACATGCTCACTTCACTTCCCCACAATCTAACCATTATCCATTTAACCTGAACTACAGTTTTCATAGCCAATCCCCCTATCCCTATCCTGCCGAAAAGCGCCCAGTGGTTGGGGCAGTCAGTGTGCCTGAGTTGACAAATGTGCAGCTCCAAGCTCAGGACTATCCAGCACCAAATATAATGAAGACCCAAGTCTATCGACCGCCTCCCCCATACCCGTACCCAAGACCTGCAAATAGTACTCCAGACCTTTCACGACATATCTACATTAGCAGCAGCAATCCAGATCTTATCACAAGGCGAGTGCACCATTCTGTCCAGACATTTCAGGAAGACAGTCTGCCCGTAGCACATTCTCTTCAGGAAGTCAGTGAACCTCTAACATCGGCACGCCGTGCTCAGCTGCAGAAAAGGAACAGTATTGAAATAGCAGGCTTGACTCCCAGCTTTGAAGGAATAAGAATTAAAGAGAGGACCATGTCAGCTTCTGCAGCAGATGTGGCTCTTCCAAGAGTTATCTCAGAAGGGTCACAGCCCAATATTCTGATGGAGAGAACAAAGCAGAAAGAAAGTGAACAAGAAGAAAGTGTGAACTGTGATCATAAGAAAACCCTTTCAGATGCCACTATGCTGATACACAGTAGTGAGGAAGAAGAAGAATTTGAAGAAGAAAACAAGGCTAGTACAAGTCTTTCTCCTCTCCCTGAAGATCAAACCCAACTTTCATCCATTATGGGTGGTTATTCTCATGATTCAGTATTGAACTACCCTTATAGCTCTGTTGCTTCATCTGCTGGCCCCTTGCATATTCTTGAGCCTAAATTACATATTACAGAGACGGAAAAGAGAATGAAAGATATGAGCCCCATTCATTTACTAGTAGAAAGCCAGGTACAGAGAAGAGGGGAAGGACTGCTTACTCCGTCTATGTCGGAATCTGATCTTACAACATCAGGGAGATACAGAGTAAGGAAAGATTCCATAAAGAAGAGACCTGTGTCCGATCTTTTGTCTGGGAAGAAGAATATTGTGGAAGGCCTTCCCCCGCTAGGTGTAAGTGGATACTATTCCTCTTGTTTCGCATTGTTCTGTAGCGGGAGTTTTGTGGGGTTTTTTTGTTTGAGGTTCGGGGGTTTTTTTAATCAACCTGAGATGCTTTTAAAACATGTGAATTAAAAGCTACCTTAAGCTTGACCTTTATTTATCTGTTTTTTCCCTGAGTAACTTTGCCTAGCTATCTTTTATCCCCTTCTCTGCCATGTCTGAGTTCTGTTTGTATAGTCCTCCCACACAAATCCAGCTGTGCAGCCTCCATCCATCTGATGATATACCTAACCTGGCTAGCAGCTGTAGAATGAGCTAATTTAAAGTCAGTTCTAGATCCCAAATTCTGCCTTACCTATCCTTATCTGGAACAGAAGCAACTCTTTCCATTCCACTACCAACTTTCTAATCTTCCTCTCACTGAAAATCAGATGTAGCTGAATGTTTACTTTTTTTGATTCATTTGCTTTCTTCTTCTGACGTAAGAGGGGGCCCTGATGCATTAGGCAATGAATTCTTTCCTTGCATTCTCTTCTTTCCTCCATCCCTTCCCCTTTTCATATCCTTTCCTTTTTGCCTTCTCTTCAAGCTGTTTTTATCCCACTAAAGGTATTTCTTGCTTGCCATGTCTCTTTCTCCTGCTCCAATCTTATGAAGCCGTAAATAGTGAACAACTACAAGTTTCACCTTCCCTGTAATTCCCACCTCATAGAAACATCAAGGTCTGTGTGGGACTGTACAATTTCACTGGTATTCCTTACCACTTGTTTTATACTTTTGTTCAGTTTTGTGTAGTCTGTGGCATGTTTCAGGTGCTAATGGAGGAAAACCATTTTTATTATTATTTTAAAATTGATTGTTGTTAATTTTGCCTTCCTGAGTTAGTGTCAGATTTCTGCACAAATTGGACTGCAGTGGAACTACCATACAACTTCTACTGCTGTAGTGACTGTTACAGATGATGCTGCAAAAGCTAACGTATGCACAAGCTATGTATTTAAATAGTTACTGCTCTCACATTTTTTTGTCTGTCAGACTTGCTGTAGATGGAGCTGAACACAATGAAGTGAACCTTCATCAGCTTCAATTCGTTTTATAGTTGTGTATGTTTTTCTAAATCTCCTTCCTACTGTTTATTTATGTGGATATAGGAAAGAAAGGTGATACTTTTCTCCTTGTGTTCACATTTAGTCACTTTGTATTTTTTGGACAACAAAATACATTTTCAGACACTGATGTGTCTACCAAAATCACGCTCTGCCTTTTCCTTCTGATAGCTATGTAAATGTTCAAGTCAACCTTTGAAATGAAATTGATATTAAAATTTTTTCACTGGGAGTGTTCAATAAAATACTTGCTAGTTCAGTAACATTTAAGAGTGCCATTGCATAATAGAGAATGATACCTTTCTGTATTTAGTATTGAGATGAATATCCTGATACGAAAGCTGACCCCTACCAGTGTTTGTACATTTTGCTTTTCAATGAACTCTTACTGTTGTGTTTGTGTTCACTTCACTTTTAAATGTGGTCTCATCCTCTTAGCTTTGTCTTCCTATTCCTTACTACCATTTAGCTTTTAAAAGCATTGATTATCATTCAGGCAGCATATACGCTCACATTTTTAGTGTATTTTTGTTAACAACCAAACTTACCAACTGCAGGAATTAGGAAGTTTTCTCTTACACTTTTTTAAAAAATAATTTGAATTCATTTTCGTAAAAATCCCCCTCTGGTATTTTTCTCAAATAATGAATAGTAACTTCAATAATTTAGATTCATGGCCTGGTTCAGAGTTCAGATCTGTCTGAAGTTCTATGTTTATGTTTTGTATGTGCGGTTTGTTGCAAACTTAGTCAAACATTTAACTATATCCAAATATCTGAAAGGTATATGCTCATTGTTATGCCCGCTTGTAGGGAAGAAAAGTGCCTGCAAGCTGAATAGTCTAGCAAGGAAAAATTTTTATGTATTTTTGGGGCTGGAAAATTATTTCAGTTCTGTCCAAGAATGTTAATTATCCAGAATTGTCACCTCACACCCTCAGTTGTGAGCTTTGTAGGGAGCCGTATTTGTCATTCTTGTGCAGTTTCATTAACCTGTCTGGAATGAAGACAGACTAGTGTTGTGTCCTTGGAGGAATGTAGTCCCACCACCCTAATCTCTCACTGCAGTGCTTATCAAAAAAAAAAAAAAAAAAAAAAGGTCAGAGCTGTTTGCAGAAGGAGTAGAAGGGGTCAAAGAAGTATCCTTCGCTTAATTGAACTCAGCTGGTTTCTGCTTTATAGCTTCATCAGATATGTAAGAATATTCACAAGTTTTAGCTTTTCTTTTGCAGGGTATGAAAAAGAACAAAAATGATGCAAAAAAAATAGGGCCTCTAAAGCTAGCTGCCCTAAATGGACTAGCTTTGACTAGAATGCCTCTGCCAGATGAGGGAAAGGAAGAATCAACAAGAGCAACAAATGACGAACGGGTACGTTGCAGTTTTTTAATGCTTTTACACCAGTTCTCTTTTACACCAATGATTTTTCAAAGTGAAATGCATATGAATGGTGCTTTGTGTTGACTTTAAAACGCTTCAAAGAAATTCAGATACTGAGAATAAAAACAAAATGAAGAGTGAGACTTCTGATTAATAAGTCATTGCTAGAAATATTGGTTGTAAGACAAAAATTTTTTAAGAATTAAGATGACAGTGCTTCAGATTATAGTTTACCCTTTGAACATATAGGATACATTTTTGTGCCAAGTCTTTCTGTTTTCTTTCTTAATTTTTGGGTTTTCCAGACTGAAAACATGAAAATTAAAATTCTGAGTGTGACATTGAACTTAGTTGTAATTATTAGTAATTCATACAATTTTTACAATAAATTTTGTAGTTAAATTGCATCCCCAGGGTACAGCTTGTGCAGATTGTACTTATCTGTTTTCCTGAGATGGATCCCTGAAAATATAGATGGGACTTGTGTGATCTGCAGAAATTTTAAGTTCAGTAAAAGATCTCAGATAACTGAGAGGGCATCAGGTTCTAGAATTTGAAGATCATTCTTTGAGAAATATAAGACTCCTCATCTGCTTGTGTCAGGGGAAACAACATCAGTAAATGTACTTCAGGCTGCCTCGTATATCATTAAATAGCTGCGGGAAAGTGAAATACAGTCAATATCCAGCCTGTGAAGGGCTACATAGAACAGTGCTGTCATCACATCTGACCAGGGAGCAACTAGATACACCAAGGTCTACGGTGATTATTGTACGTTCTGCAAATGGTGGTCTCTTTAGAATCCGGTTCTGAGCATGGTTGGGCATCCTCAGCTGCAGACCCCTCTAGCTCAATTTGGTGACAGTCACTGGGCAGTGATCAGAACCTGAAGGAACAGTTGTGCTCTCACCAACTGCAGTTTTAAGGAACAGGCCAAGAGAATGAATTGCAAGTCACACAGTAGAAATTCAGTCTTTGAGTTTGAAAGCTTGGAGTGAGATCCATGGGAAGGAGATTTGTCTGTTACATTTCAACACAGTTGAAGTTCTTTTTGAACTATATATACACTCCTTAAAGGTGCTAAGGGACAAAAATTAAGATTGTGTTATTGACATACAGTTCTACATTTAGTACCTGTGTTGGTTATTTCTTCTTATTTACAGCCATCATCTCTTCCTCGATTGACCTTTATTGAATTCAGCCACATTATTATTCAGCTAGCTCTGTCCAAAGTGTTGAGGTAAAAGAAGAATCCATAAAGTCAAGTTATGAAAAAGACATGTCACTATACTTTATCTTCAGGCAGTCATGTAGAGGCAGAATAGATACCATGAAATGGGAGTAATTCCTAAAACAGTTGAGAAGATACAGTGCAAAGCAGACATGTGACATGAAAGGAAGTCCAGACTGCAGGTATTTTGGAAGATGACTTTAAAGTTAATTCAACGCCTGTTTCATTGCTCAGCTTCGTGTTATTATCAGTTTAAATGAGGGAATTTAGCCTAAAGATAATAAAGGAGTTTGTACAGTTGATGTATTGATGTGCAAATTGCATATCATCAAGGTTTTACACTTTCCTCTGCATTACAGTTATTTGATATAAGACACTTTTCTGACCCGATGTTATGGAGCAGTTGCTGTAAGAGGCTGAGGAGTGTGAAATAGATGAAATTTTCTGGCTGAAATCGTACATATTATTCCTCTAATTATTGTTGGCAAAGAGATGCTGAAATTCCAGAAGTGTCTTATGATTTAGAAAGAACTTGGTTTCGAAAGAATAATTTGGGGGGGGGTGGGGTGGGTGAGGGGGAAAGAGCAGCTTATTAAATAACACAGATTGAATTATACTAGTAGAAAAAATTGTGGGCTTATACCCCAGCTGCTGCAAGAGCTTCTAAGAAGAGTTTTCTCCTGTATGCAAAGTTTAGTATCTTCAGTCTAAGAAAATGTGAAATATTGGCAGTAAATTATTAGCTCATTGACTGAGGCAACTGTTTTGTTTTACATTTTTAGAGTTTTTCTCCATTCAAATGACAAAATTGACAATTTTTTTTTTTATTACAAAGGTAAAAGAGACCTTTTCAAATGTAACATGCTATATTGAGCAGGAGGATTAATGAGTATTTCTTGTTCAAAGGTATTTGAGGTGGTTTGTAGTATAGCATAGCTATCTGTTTTGGCCAAATATTTATTTGCCCGACTGGGTTGTCTTTATGGAAACTATGAACTAATTTTTCTTTCACCAGTGGTATCCACAGTCTTTGTGACCTAATGAGGTATATCAGGCTTCTTAGTTTCCAGCTGAACAAAACTCCTGCTGGTTAGGGTTGCTTCTAATGTATTTTGGTATGTTTGTGAAAACATTAATAGCTGGAAAAGCATTGAAAAAGTATGTAGGAGAGGAAAATACATACATTTTATCCTTCATGAATTCTTTGTTAAAATAGACTCACCTTAGAACGTGACTTTGTATGGTTATCTGTGTTCTGTCTTTCAGTGTAAAGTTCTGGAACAACGGTTAGAGCAGGGGATGGTATTTACTGAATATGAGCGCATTCAGAAAAAAAGACTTATAGATGGTGAGTGCTCAATAGCTCGGCTTCCTGAAAATGCTGAAAGAAACCGGTTCCAGGACGTCCTTCCTTATGATAATACCAGAGTAGAGCTAGTCCCAACCAAAGAAAATAACACGGGTTACATCAATGCATCTCATATCAAGGTGAGAGAAATACTGTTGGAGAAATATTTTCCTGTTCATGTGGTAACTAAAAATGGATTTGGCTATCAGTTTTGGTTTGGTCAGATGAGTGAGAATCCCTCCATGTCTCTCCCTCTCTCCTTTCTTCTGCAGAGATTTCTTTGGGGAAAGGAGGAACCTATTTTTCCTCATTACCTAGAATAATGGAGGGTTAATTATTGGGGAGGTCCTTAGCATTTCAGTTCTGTATTGATCTACTGTCTTCTCTCTCTGTCTCATCTCTCTGTGGGTTGGTGTTAACATAAGGCATGTCCATTCTTCCCAGAGTTACAAAGGCAAATAGTTTTATAACAAACTGAGATCTTTTGCAATGATTATGATATTTTTGAACTGCAGTGACAATCCTATTATTTTTTTCTCTTCTGTACTCTCTGACTAGATCCACAACAGGCAGTAAGCTAGCTCCTAGCTTAAGCTTTTTTTGGGTGGTTAGAGGAACAGATGGAGCCAGGGAGAAATCGTCTCTTTTATAAACGTCAGTCGCTCCCTTTCCCCAGCCTTAGCTCTTTAAACTCTGTTTAAAAAAGTTAAGAAGTTGCAGGGTGACTTCAGGAACCTTCAAGGCATTTCGTTCATTTTCAATGCACTTACCTACTTAAAGTGCAACTACAATTGGCTTCATGCTTTCTCTGAAAAGACTTGAGATCATTACAGCAGGAGTTGTAGCTGTGTTGCTGTCTTTTTAAAATAAATCTGTTTGTACACTGACATGGTACCGTAGTTTCTATACTTCAACTCGTTCACACGTGTTGAGTAACTCTTATGACCCTTCTCAAACAAGATAATATCTTTTGAGGAACCATCAGCTAATTCTGACTTTTTAGTGCATATAATAGCATTTACAGCACCAGGGTATGAAAGCTTCTCTAAACCTGAATTGGCTAGAATACCTTAAATTCACAAAAGAGAAATACTATTTTATTTACTCACTTTTACATTATCATTATAATATAAAGTACATTTATTTAGCTACGTGCTTATACAATTTTAAACATTGTGTCTCTTCTACATCTAATGTGACAAGATGCGGCTAAAAAATGGGAGGCAGATATAACTCAATGGGCTCCTGCTTTTGCAGTGCTGTTGTCTTTTTTCAGTTTGTGCATCTTCAAATGGCTGAATTAAGAATTGGGGAAAGGGAATTTTCAATAATTACTAATATAATGCCTGTCTTTTTACAGATCTCTGTTGGTGGCATAGAGTGGGATTACATTGCTACACAGGGCCCTTTGCAGAATACATGTCAGGATTTCTGGCAGATGATCTGGGAACAGGGGATTGCCATCATAGCTATGGTGACGGCAGAGGAAGTGAGTATAAACTGAGTCAGGTTTCTCCCAGAAATTCTGCAATGATTTTGTTATGATCTCTTAGAGGAAGCGGATCTTTGCTCCAACAAGAAGACCAATCAAAGATAAATTTCTGTTGACCCCTTTGCAATTCTGTCTTGCTTTCCTTGGCAGAAAGACGTAAATTTCTGCCAGAAAGTTAGTTTACTCGGTGAGAAACCATCACACTGTAGTAGTACTTAACAGAGGAGAGATACAGTTGTTACAGGAGCCTTAGTTGTATGAGTGTTCTTACATTCCTTGTTAAGCAATTGTTTCACTTTTAAGGAAAGTGGGCGAGAAAAAAGCTTCAGATACTGGCCACGACTTGGTTCAAGACACAACACTGTAACATATGGAAGATTTAAGATTACCACACGATTCCGTACTGACTCAGGCTGCTATGCAACTACTGGTTTGAAGATTAAACATCTTCTCACAGGACAGGAGAGAACAGTTTGGCATCTGCAGTATACTGACTGGCCAGAGCATGGCTGTCCAGAGGATTTAAAGGGATTTCTCTGTGAGTCGTATTTAATAGCTTTGGGGTATTTAGTTTGTTTTGGGGTTGTTTTTTGTTGGGTTTTTTTCAATACCTCCTAAAATGGCTGCTATACATGAATTAGCTTTGATAAGCACGCCAAGCATTCTGCTGTAAAAGGTTTCTTCACACCAGCAAGAGGTACTGAATTATATTTTTGGCAGGAATATACCTGCCAGTTTGTTAAAGTGACTGTTTATGTCTAAAGCCAAATATGTGATTTACTAAATGTTCATATAGATTAAAACATAATTGCATCACATACTACACATTTGAGTATGTTCCAGCAGTAGCAAGACGGCCACGAGCCGCCTTTGGTGGGGAATAGGGAAACAAGGCAAGGAAGGTTTGATGATCTTTATAGTTCTGTATTGCTTTGGTTGGGATATGACTTGTGATTTACACCGTGTGTCATTTTTCTGTGGGATGTCATTTGTTTAATTACTACTTTTCTGGTGGTCATACAGTGTAATAACATGGCTTATGTGGCTTCATCTCCTAAACTGATTATTCTTATCTTGTTGAACTTAATAGCATACTTGGAAGAGATACAGTCAGTGCGGCGCCATACGAACAGCACCGCGGATCCTAAAAACACTAATCCTCCTGTACTGGTACATTGCAGTGCAGGCGTAGGACGGACAGGAGTGGTCATACTGTCAGAGATCATGATCGCTTGCTTGGAACACAACGAGGTGATCTCTTTTTCTTTCTCGTGCTTTAAATAACGTTAGGTAGTGGAAGAGTAAATAACCTGTTTAATAAATATTTTATGGCTGTTCATCTGAGCTTTCCCAAAATATGGCCTTTGGAAGAGCCCTTACAACTCTGATTGAAAGAGCTCTTGGCAATTCAACAGAAGTTAATAATCTTCTAGAGTTGCTCACTACATGCTGGGTACTGGAATGCTAATTTGGATTCTTGAGTCCGTAAGATGTTGAGTCACTGAGTGGAACAAGGTATGCCCTAGGCTACTAAGCATATTTCAGGATTCTGCCCTGACTTTACCACTTTTTACTTCATGCCTTAGTTTTAATGAATAATATTCAAGAACATGCTTTGTAGCCAGTGTCTCTGCTTGTTATTAAATATTTTGTTCCTAAGTTTAGTGCATTTGCAGTATCAGTCTCGGCGCAGGACAAAGCAGTAGTTTAGTAGAACAAAACCTAGTCCTATCAGCTTTTAGCCAGAAGTGGACAGCTGTAAAGTGTTTATTAATGATATAATATTCCAGCTGAGACTCAACAAACTGTTTTGTTGTGCATCCTTGTCCTAACACTGTGCAGACTTTTAGACGCTGTGCAGCCATTAGGTTTGTGAAGACCCTTACCCCATGAGATAGGCAAATTTAATATTAAGCATATTTCACAAATGAGGAGGTAGGCATGGTTAGTGGTGTAGTGCAGTCCATACCTGGGCAATGAATTGTCAGAGTTGAAATTAGAGCAGCTGATTCAGTCCTTAGGTCACTGGTACTGCTCTGAACCTCCTGCTGAGAAAGTGCAAGCCAGTCTCCTTGCTCACCAGTCAGTTGTAATGGTTTGTTCTTTTCCCCCAGATGCTGGACATCCCAAGAGTGCTGGACATGTTGAGGCAGCAGAGAATGATGATGGTGCAGACTCTTTCGCAGTACACTTTCGTCTATGGAGTTCTCATTCAGTTTCTCAAAAGTTCTAGACTTATATAATCCCTGCCATTTCCTAAGGGACATGGCAAAAGTTTACATAAAGAAAATTGCAGTTGTCTAGGCAGACCTGCTCTCACTGGTGGTTTCTTCATATGATGAATCACACAGTTAACTTTTAGGGCTGGTATATGACTGTTAAATGCAAGTCAGTGTAACAGTCCCTGCAAAGCAGGGTCTTTGCCGGACTAATTTCTTCCCATGTTCAGCTGCGGTCATATTAGGGAATGATTTTACTTGTGCTGGGCTGTAGCACTTGCATACATTCTTTAGAATGGTGTTACTCTGGGCAAAATAAGTATCTTATGGAATGGACGTACATGGCACAATTTTACTAACATTATGTTTTAAAACATAATTGTTAACAGTGCGAAAGATAAAATCTGTAGATGCAAGTGAGGTGAGAAACCTGGTCCCTGGGAATGTCAAGGTCTTATGCAGTTTCATTCTGCTTTCAATTTTATATTTAGAACAATACATCTATATTTTTTAAAATGAACTTTTGGTTTCCTCTGGTTTACTCAGCAAAATTTGCAGCTCTTAGATATTTTAAGCTGTTGCTTTAAGGACAGTTATTTTTATAGTCATAATTTTTTAATTAAAAAACCCCCAAAACACCACAACCCAAAACTTTTTAAACAGCATAATGTTTTCTGAGGACAAGAATGACAACATTTGAACTAACTTTTCAAAAATCATGCAGAAAGTACTAGGGGAAGCAATTAGTAGTTAGTTGTAGTGCCGTGTAATAGAACTGATAAGTGAAAGTTGATGTTAAATGTTGATAACTTCCATTTGAGCAGAGGTATGTTTACCTACTGAGTTGTGGGCAACAAGCAGGGGAAAAATATTCTAATTATCTACAAGGTTATTGGAAACAAATGTATGAGAGAAAGTAGATATTCAGTATTATTCATATATTTAGAGGACAGTTTGATTTTACTGGCTGAAATCAAAGTGGATGCAAACGTTTTAAGCACTTTTTTTGCTCTGTTATTTATGTAGTTAAACATAGAAACTATAATCATGCATTGTTTCATATGGTAATATACCATTACTAACCTGTTACTTTAGGAAGAGCCTTTTAGATTGATGAAGTGAGAGAACCAAAATTGGAGGAAGAAGGTGCATAGTGGTGAAGCGGAAATGATCGTATGAAACATAATGGAGGAGGTGTGGCAGCTATGATTGCTGGTTTACACAGTGCAAAGATGACCATTAAAAATGTTTATGTTCCCAGTCAAGAGAGCCTTTAAAGCACTGGAATTTTCTGTAGAATCCTCCAGATTATTTTGTCAGTACTAGAACAGATCTTGCTTTGCTCTTGCAAAGAATATCCACAGAAGCCGTTTGAGAACACCTGCAGAACATAAGAGCTCTTAGAGGTAACACTGGAGATGTGGGTATCTTAGTAGCTGTGTAGGTGGCTGAGTCAATGGCTATGGCACGGACCTGAAGATGAGTCGTACCTTTGGTAGTTCCCATTTTGTCCCATGAGTCTGGTCTGATGGTGGTATCCCTAAATAATCCCCTGTCTGTGGTTTTCAGATGGGGACAGTGTGGTTTTACCTGCCTTTTCAAGTGTTTTGAGATGCTGAGTTGAAAATTCCTACTCAGATGTGAGCTATTAGTTTGTAGATATCTGGTTTAATTTCTAAAAAAACCAGTCTGCAGGCATGTTTAAGTGTCTGTTTCCCTTGATACCTGCTTAGTGAAATGAAATGAGACTGAAAGTCATTTTTATCACTGGTGAAATTATGTTATTTTTCTGAGCCGTAACAAGGGTTTAGAAACAATTATGAATAATTAAAACCCCTTCAAAACAGTAATTGTTTCCCAAAACATTAATTAATAATAAGAAATAGATTGCCTCAATTTCCTCTGTAATAAGCTACTTCCACAAAGAAAAACACACAGTCCAAATGACCTTGTGCTAATATGTCATTCTATACAAAATAGCTTACTTTTTAAAGTACACTATATTATTCTAGTGCATTTGGTCTGCTTTCAGGCAGTCTGAATTGTTCTACTTTCAGTAAAAGTAAGATTGAATATTTCACATGGAGGAAAAAATATTCTTTTTGTAACTATAAAATGTCTAGGAAGAATTAATTGCTAAATGTAAAGCTGGAAGTCCAGAGGAAACCAATTACTGAAGACTGATTCTTTATATATAAATCTTGCAAACAAACCAATTTGACATACCTGTGTCAACAGAAGTATTGAAAGACACAAACATAGTTAGCTATTTGTATCATGCTGTATTTTAAAAACATTGCTACTTTTTGCCAGAGTTCACTTATATCTTCAGAAATATTTTTGAATGGGAAAGTATACTCTAAAATGTAGCTTGTACCATTTCCATTTCTCAAGTTTGGACAGTGATCTTCATAACCTGATACATGCTGCTTTTAGTGAAATTATATACAACCACAACTTCAAGCAAAAATTTTTAGCTGTTCAGCATTTACTAGAACAGAGTATCAGCTGTGAGGCATTAAAATGGCTTTAAATTGAAGACAGGTAGATTTAGGTTGGATATAAGGAAGAAATTTTTTATGATGAAGGTGGTGAGGCACTGGCACAGGTTGCCCAGAGAAGCTGTGGATGCCCCCTCCCTGGAAGTGTTCAAGGCCAGGTTGGATGGGGCTTTGGGCAACCTGGTCTAATGGAGGGTGTCCAAGCCCATGGCAGGGGATTGGAACTAGATGATCTTTGAGGTCCCTTCCAACCCAAACCAGTCTATGATTCTGTGAAAAGGAGCAGTTAAACAAAGCAATTTATTCCAAAACTTAGCGGGTTATCTGAGGTGGGTGAGGAAATGTCTCTATTTTGCCATGCTTTTCTGTTTTGCTGAAAGAAGTTGTGTTCACTTTTAGAGGCGGTTGCTCTCTAACCTGGTAGTCACAGTCTTGATTTATTTTTTTAAGCATAACACTGCTACCTCCTCCACTTCAGCTTTCAGTTCTGTCCACCAGCAGTCTGTTTTTGCATTAATAGACTTGACCATAATAGACTTGACTTTATGTGAGTTTTCCTACTGAAGACAGCAGGATTACTTTGGTATGTAAACATACTGCTCCAAGTGAGCACTGAAAATGAGCAGTTTCTCTTCTAAGATACCAAATGAAAATAGACTTCACAACCTCCAGTAAGAAAATTAATTTTAAAACCATTGTTTAGATTTTCAGTTAACTTTTAAATTAAAATTCAGTTTTTAGCACTTTGTTCTGAGCCTTGAAAAGGGATACTTTTTTTACCTGTAGTTACGCTGGGTGCTTTGTGAAGTGTTGGACGTTATAAGAACATCTACTGTGCAAATCCAGTCACAATGTCAGAGGTGGATTTATTTGTCAAAAGCTTAAAACTTCCACTACAAGGCTGTCCATTTTGCCAAATGTGCTTCTGTTTTTATGGGGATGAAACCAGATTATTATGCAAGATCTGAGCTTACTTTTTCAGAAAGAAAAGTTGTCTGAAGACATTCTTGCAGTAAACGGCAAAGATGATGCTGATCTCTAGGGATGTCAGAGCTCTCAGGGATAAATAAAGGTGCTATATACTGTGAAGAGACAGATTTGACTGTCTTTTGTGGGCTAGGTGGAAAATGCTTTTTAGGATCAAATTGTATGAATATTGAGGAGAAGAACCCACAAATTGTAGCGAGGGCTTTCTGGATGTTCAATTTCTTTCTTGGTTGCTCTGATGAGAGGGATTTTTTTTGGTTGGTGAATCTTTGCAGTCTTGGGCTAGCAGCTCTTCTCCAAGAACGTAAGTCAGAGCCCTGTTCCTTGCAAAGATGTCACTGACGTAGCAGGCTTAGCTGTAGGCTGCAAATCGCTCCTCGCCCCGTTCTGTGAGGATGAAGCTCCCTGGTACACAGGGAAGTTTTGCACAGCTCGTCTGCAGCCTGCACAGCAGTGCTCTCCTTTTTCTGCTGTCCTGTGAAGAGCAGGAAAAGTTTCATGCCTTAGTATTGCTCTCAGTGTGATACCTTTTGCACGAGTGAACGGTAAAAACTACAAGTGTAGGGTGCTATGGTTTCTGTCTAGAAATACATTTAATTCAAAGCAGGTGAGCAAGGCAGAGTTCCTATAATTTCTGTGGATGAAAAGCTGCTCTAAGTTATCATCAACATTTAGAAAACAAAGTAAAATAATGACAAGTAAAAGTAAAATGAATATGTACTAAAATGGAAAAAAATCGTGGCATTTTGAGAAATGTATTTTTGGCTCCTCTCATAATCCTGTGTATCTTTTTTTTTTTTTTTTTTTAAATGGATGACATTTGGAGCAATTTTCTCCAAAAATAGCTTCTTAAATTTAATAACTAAGACTACCTGAGGCTGCTGCTACATTTTTCTTGTTGGAGCAGCTGTTAAAGTCAAGTGGCTCATATATTTCAATGGCCTCTGGACCAAACTTGGAAACTGCAGGGTCATTTATCATACAAGCTAGCTGCGTAATGAGACCTCAGTTTTAATATCAGTAGCATTACTAATACTCTGAACTTAAAATAGTGAACTCATTACTATGTTTCAATAGTTAGCTGAAATTATTAATTTAAAAGAAACAACCCTTCAATTGCTAAGAACTCTGTGCTTCAGATTTCAAGGTTTGGGGTGGTTTTTTTTTTCAATATTGCAAAGCCAGAGTCCAGTCCTGCAAGATGCAAAATTCCCGCAATTCTTCCTGATCTTGTAGGAATTAAAACAGGCTTATTGCCAATGAAAGCTTGAGCCCTTAAAGCATGAATACTCACGTGTCTGCTTTAAATTTAAATACAGATTACAAGAATTAACCAAAAGAATGCATCAGGAATGTGCATGCATGAAGCTACAGCATTCAAAGGAAAAGTAGCTGAGATATAGTTAGGAAGAAATTCTCTTGTGAAAAGAGAAAATGTTGGAAGTAGAGAGTAAGGATTTGAGGAATGCTGAAGGCATTTGGAGGAGGATTTGGAACATTGCGTATCCGCAGTAGAGCTGCTAGAAGGGTTTGATTCATATGGTATGTATTTCATGGCATGGTAGGGTAAGTGAATATGTAGTCATAGGTGTTATTTTTACTGGCTTTTTAAAATGTAATTTTTGAAACTCCAAATATTTTTTCAGAGGCTCTGTTATTTTTAC